AATTCCAGATACCTGAAACCAGATGTGGACAAGAAATCCAAACATAAGACAGCGGTAAAGAAGAAAACCCTAAACCCAGAGTTCAATGAGGTACAAGGGGCTGGGGGCCCTGGAGGAACTGGGTTTTCCAAAGGGCACTGTGGGAGCTGGAGGGTGGGAAGGGGCTGCAGGAGAGCGCCCCAGCCAGGGGATGTGGGAGTGGCGGAGTGAGGCCAGGCTGTGCAGGTGGAGGGGAAGGGGTTGTAGCCATGGTGATGTGGAGGTGGAAAGGGGAACCCAGCAGCAGGAGGGGGAGGTGGGTACAGCTGGAGAAGGGCCTCAGGCAGAGCCTGGGTGACTCAGGTGCCAGCAGAGAAGGCCGAGGAGATACTGCCAGAGTGAGGGGGACACCAGATGTTGGAGGCAACTGGTGGCAGAGAGGGTTCCACAAAGAAGGGGAATGGTCACCAGAGTCAGACCCAAAAGAGGTCAAGCACACCAAGGCCGCCAAGTGTGCTTTGGGCACTAAGCAGACTCTCGAGGGTCTTGAGAAAAGCAGCTTCAGTGACAGGTGGGTTGGAGAGAAGTGGACCCTAAGGACCCCAGCCGGGCTCTTAGACAGAAGTGGGTGAGGTGGGTGAGAGTCCACCATCATCCACTGCTATGCCCTGGCCACCCTCCCAGCCACTCCCCTTCTGGCCACCAGGAATTCTGTTATGAGATCAAGCACGGGGACCTGGCCAAGAAGACCCTGGAGATCACCGTTTGGGATTATGACATTGGAAAATCCAACGATTTCATTGGTGAGGAGACACCTATTTAGCAAAGGGCAGTGGCCCTGAATCAGGCCCCAATCCTACCTTCCTGGTGAAAGCCAGGGCCATAAACATCTTGCCACCAGAGAGGCCTCAGACAAGTTCGAGCCTGACCCAGAGAGGGAAAGAGGCCTGGCCAGCTCACACAGCAGTCTGTGGTGGAGCAGTTGTGAGAAGTGATGATGGTCAGCCCCTCGGGCTGGACTCCAGGCCTTTGTGGCCCCAAAGTCCTGGTGGTCTTAATGGCTGTGCACAGTGGAGCTGCCCTGGTCCTGGGCAGAGGAAGGGCAGGATCCCCGGGCCCTGATCCGAGGGAGCCGAGAGTGTGGCATAGCGGTCAGACCACTGTCCACCCTCAGAGCCAGGGGGCAGGCTAGAGAGTCTGGGAGGGGGGTTGGGGGGCACTGGTTCCACAGGGACCCTGAGAGTCACTGTGGCCCTGCTGCAGGTGGTGTGGTTCTGGGCATCAACGCCAAGGGAGAGCGTCTGAAACACTGGTTTGACTGCCTGAAGAACAAGGACAAGCGGATCGAGCGCTGGCACACACTCACCAACGAGCTCCCGGGGGCTGTTCTCAGCGACTGACCTGCCCCGCCCACTGCGCCCACCCCTGCCCGGTACCTGGCCTAGCGCCGGCCAGGCCCTGGGCTTCCTCAGCTGCCACTAAGGGCCTCAACCCCCACATTGGGGGAGATCCAGGACGCCTGCTCGGACACAGAGCCACTGCAGCCCCCATTCGGAGGCTGTAGGAGGCCCAGCCTCTCCGAAGGGGCAGCAAGGGCAGAGGGCTGGGCCTGCTTTTGGCCCCTTAGGGCCCAAGAGGGCTGGAGGTGGGGGGAGAGGACCTTGGCCTCAGCACCCACCCAGAGGAAGGGAATGGGGCCGTCTAGGGGACAAGGACCTACTAGAGATCAGCAGGGAGTGAGTTGAAGGGACCCCAGGCTGAGAACAGGAGTGCAGGGCAACCATCAGGGAGAGGGGCGTTATGGGGAGGACAGGACTGTGAGGAAAGTTCATTCCCAAAAGGGTCTGACTACATCTCTTCATCTCTGGTTTGACTGGGAGGGGAAAAGTTGACCTGAGAGCCAGGAGTCCGGTGAAGTTCTGGGAGCTCCCAGTGAACGTGGGCAAAGAGCAAGCACTTCACTTAGTGATTCCTCAGGCCCCTGGGGATGAATGAGACCCAGGACCTGCCCTCAGGGAGGTTGCCATCTAGTTAGGGAGCTGGAAACAAACCTTTACAACAGGGGTGTGAGGACTGCCAAGGCCAGCCTGACCCACCTGCACATGCTGCAGATTCTGGACTGACTTCTGGAAGAGCAGGGAGGTCTTCCTGGAGGAAGTGATGCTTCAACAAGTCCTTGAAGGGTGAGTGGAGCTTCTAGGCAGACAAGAGGGGGAGGCCAGTGCACGTCAGGGACCGGTCTCTCTGGGCGGGAAGCAGGGGAAGGGTTTGGTAGGAGTGGAACACAGGGGCCATGACACTCAGCCCTGCTCCCACCCCACCTCTAGCTGCCAGGCCAACCTGGATTTGTAGCCATGGGTGGAGGCTTACACAGGCCCAGCGCTCCCACCTTTGGATCTCTTTCTCCTCCTGAGGAAGCTGGATCCTGCCTCTTGTTCCCAGAGGCATCAGGTCAGCTACAGTCAAGAAGAGAGTCTCTTTTTCTTTCCACAAAAAGAATAAAAAAGTCCTCCTGTTCTCACGCTCCACCCAGGCCCTTCTGGGTTCAGAGTTGGGAAGTGCAGGACCCCGCGTGGTGGCCTGCACATCCTCACCCTACTGCTGTCCCTTTCAGGAGTATTTGGCAGCAGTCCAGGGCCTTGTTTCTGGGAAGGCCTGCAGGGCTGGCTCTGTCCTCCAGGATTAGAAAGAGAGCCACCCTGCACCCCAGGTCAGGGTCTCCAGGAAGGGGTTGAGGGCATCAGAATCTTGGGCCCAGGCCTGAAGCCCCAAACTCTTACTGCCAACCAAGGGGTTTTCAACACTGGATGAACAAATGCAGAACCCAGGAATTTTTGTGTTCAACCCATCACTGCACTGATGGGAAACGGAGTCCAGAAAGGGAAAGTGACTTACCCAAGGCCTTCCAGCGCTACCACAGCTGGGGCAGACCATGTTCATGGCCCCTGCCCCACCTCCTTTGTTTTTTTCCTAAGAAGGCTTTGTGCATGACAAGGGTTTTACATGCACTGTCTAAACGATTCTTCACAACCCTATGAGATGGGCTTAACTCTCATCCCCGTTTGATAGATGAGGAAACAGATTCAGAGAGGCTGAGTAGATACCAGTGTCACACAGCTGCGAGGGGGTGAAGCAGGACTGAAGCTCAGGTCTTCTGACTGCCATGTCCTCCGGTTGCCTGGGGGACAGTACTCCCCAGTCCCCTCCCTTTTGGGCTGTTAGGGCTCAGCAGAGATACTCAGGTGAAGACACGGTAAACTCCAGTGGGTGATGGAGGTGTGGGGACTCGGCCTGTGGTCCAGCTGCCTTGGCTTCTAGATGGCTTTGAAATCGTCTGTGCCACTTAGGGCTTCCTCAGCAGTCTCTACTGCCCGGTCCCAGAATTCAGCCACTGAACATCTGAACCTGTGAGCCAGGCCCTGGTTCCTCGAGGGGACTGAGACAAGGTCTTCACTTTTCTCCATACAGCTGGAATGGGGGAAACTCTGGGAGCCTAAAGTCAAAATAAGAGAGAGATGGTCTATTTTGAGGAGCCTTGTGTCTGGGTGAGGTCTGGGTATCTTCTTAGCTTTGCCGTTTTGGGGGTGGCCTCATTCAGAAAGGAGCCTCACAGGATCCCTGTGAACACGTGGAAATGCTGAATGGCAAAGTTAGAAGTACGCCTAGAGCCTTACCTAGGACAGCTTCCTTATCAGACACATGGAGAAGCTGAGGCCCAGCAAGCAGGTGCCTGTACAGGGCCCAGCTGGGACAAGAACTCAAGACACCTGGTCCGAGGCTTTCTACTGCAGACTTGGGCCTGAAAAATGGTTCCAGTTGACCATAGGGACAGTCAGGTTGGGAGGTGGGTCTTCTGAACAGCCAGCCCTAGATGAGGAGGGCCAGGAGGCCCCCCAGGCAGTGACAGAACCTCCACTAGGACTCTGGCACTATTCTGGAACCCTTGCAGATTGTACTCTATTAAAGAAAAACCGCTTTGAGAAGCTGCAGTATCAGCTCTGCCTTTGACCCCAAACTGACATCTTTCCTCTGGCCCATCAGCCCTACACAGTCAAGGAATTTGAAGCAAAAAAGGTCATTCCAAAGTCAGGTGTCAGTAACGAGGGGGTCGCCAGATGCTCACTGGACATCCACCTGCACCCCTACCCTCTCCCTAGTCCCGTCCACCGCCACCACTAGCCAATACCCAACGGGCCCGTCTTCCAACCCCGAAGCGGTAACCTCCTGACCTCTAGTGGCGAGAGCGAGGAACTGCACCTCCTGGCCCGAGCATGTCCTCCCTTTGTTTCTTCTCCAACCGAGAGAACCTCCCGATGCATGGACTCTGGCTGTCTTCGACGCAGACTCGTGCACTGCTTACCACCGTTTTGCTATCATGTGACGGTTGCAGAAACCGTCCTTAAACTGCAGCCCCACACACAACTTTTGTACTTTCGTCTGACTTACCCGAAGGTGTCCTTTTTAAGTCTTATTTGTTAATATTTATAATGACATATAATCTAAAGTAAATGGAAACGTTCATTGAGATCCTGTTGGCTTGGAAGTCTCATTTTAATAGATTTGAGTGGGTGGGCATAAAAGAACGAGAGCCTGGCAACTGGGACTGGCCCCACCCGAACTGTCTTGTTTACTCTGAACCAAGACCCTGTTTGAGGTTACAGGTGGGGAAACAAAATCTCCGAGGGGTTAAAATATTTGTGCAGAATCACAAATGACAGATCCAGGACTCACCTCATGCCTCCCAAGACCTGTTACAGCAGGATCAGCACACTATGCAGTCATCTCTGCATTCACCCAGCAGCTGTGGGGTGTTAACTGTAAGGCCGGCCACTGGTCTAGCTACCTGGGGCAGATTCATCAGCGAGACGGTAAATGAATAGTAAATATAATAATGATATGTTAAAAGATGACAAGGGGGAAAAAAGGGTATAAAGGAATCATGTGGGCTGGGAAGGCTGGGCTTAAATAAGGAGGTCAGGTGGCCTCCAGAGAAGGTGACTTGGTGCTAAGACTTGGAGAAGGTGAAGGAGGGAGCTAGGGGGAGACTTGAGGAAAGTGTTCCAAATGGAGGGAAGAGCCAGTGCCCCGAGAGGTGGGGGTGGGCTTGGCGGGACAGGACTTGCAAGGAGAGCCGCGTGGGCAGAGCAGGGAAGAGCGGTAGACAAGGACGTAGGGGAACCGAGCACCGGCTCACATAGGACTATAAAGACTGTGGCTTTCACTCTGCATGCGAGGGATACGAACTCCTGCTCACCTGTGAACAAACCTGTGGTCTGGGGCAGGCCATCAGGCCCACTTTGGAGGTCCCTCTGGTGGCGGCATGCCAGTGGGTCCAGGGTTCAAGTTCAGTATCCAGAGCAGTGGTGGCCAGGTCCTAACTAGAGTCCTCTGTGGCACGACTTTGGTCAGTGTTTTGGCCACCAGCCTCCTTTAGCAACCGCCTCTGTGGCCAGCCTAATCTTCCAGGCCTTCGCCCACTCTCTGAGCTACCTGATACCCTTACAGCGTGTTCCTTTTCTGCTTACGTTAACCAGAGTCGAAGCCTGTTATTTGCAACAAAGAATCCTGCCTGATGTTGATGCAGTCTGATCATCTAGGTCTCAAGTGTCACCCCTTTGTGAGGCCTGCCTTGACAGCCTGTCACTTTCTCCCCCATCACCCTGCTTTCTTTTCCTCATGGCACGTATCACCGAAATCACCTTGTGTATTTGCTCATTCCTTTCTCCCCTTACTAACCTTCATGAGAGCAGAGGCCACATCTGTCTTATTCACCTCAGTAGCCCCAGACCAGGACGGAGCTTAGAGTAGGGCTCTAATGAGTATTTGTTAAACAAATGGATGAAAGCTGCCAACACAGACACTCTTTGAAAGGTGCCAAATTATAATGCTGGGTCCAAGCCCAGATGAATGTGCACAAGACTCCTGCTCCTGGGGTAGATGAAAAAGAACCCCAGGAACCACAGGTTCTGTGAGTAGAGAAAGGGAGAGGTGGGGAGGGGAGAGAGGGAGGAAGGATCAAGATGGCAGGGTAAGCTCACTTCCCCCAACAAACACATCAAAAATACATCTACATGTGGAACAATTCTCACCAAAAACTACCTGGAAACTGGCAGAACTCCCATACAACCAAGGCTGCAAGAAAGATTCCGCATAAACAGATAGAATGGGAGGAAAAGCATCGGGTCAGGACCTGTGTCCTGGGAGGGGATTAAGAGGGAGCTTGCAGGGGTAGGTCCTCACCCTGGGGAGTGAGCAGGTTAAGCAACAGTCCTGGGGTCCTATGTGGAGGAGACAAGACCCCTTGGCTGCTTGGAGAACAGTTGGGACAGACGGGAAGGCTGAAGAAGCCTAGGCCCCACTTGTGAGGAATGCACAGATGCAGCTGCCACCTCACTGGGCTCCCCAACCCAAGCTGAGTGAAAACCCTGGCTCCACTTACTCCCTACCACAGCTTGGCACTGGATCTAGGGCAGCTCCAGGTCCTGGGGAAAGACTTGATCTAGGGACACAGAGGTGGCCAGGGGGGCCTGGGGTGTGGTACAAGTGGGGCGGCAGCAGCCATTGTTGACAGTTACTCAAACAGCACTACAGAAGCAGCCCCAACTTCTGATGGCAGCATAGCTGCTTCACTTCCCACAACCACAATGCCACGTTCCCTGGTCCCAGCTGAGCAAATGCTCTATCCTCGCCCAGTCCACACCAAAACTTTGTACTACATCTGGGATGTCCACAACAGGAAGAAAGACACAAACTTAGGCTCCATCTGAGCAGAGCCACAGATGCCTGCACAAGCAGCTCATTGAAGCTCTGTAAGCACACAAACCCTGCTTACTTCAGTGCTTCCCTCCTTCAGGGCAAAGTTCCCAGTGTACAGAGAAGGAAAAACACACACTTGAAGGGAACAGAGCCAGCTCCAGCCCGACCCTCAGAGCTTCTGCTCCAGCAACTTGAGAGCAGACCCTGCCCAACAGGACGACTGCAGCCAGTGAGCAGAGAGGAAGTGTCACCTCACCTTGCACAGGCTTTACCTCCTCCAACACCAGCCATACCCTCTTATCAAGATGATAGTAGCCAGCACATCCTGTGGAAAGACATGGCTGGCATCCACATCAAATCCAATCTTCACACCAAAGACACTGGGCACACCCAGTCTACATAGGAATGTGCCCGCATAAAAACACCCCTTCAAGACCACAACAGATAACCGTTCCAGTTAAATTCACAGAGACAGAGAAAGTTAAGTGAAATGAAAAGGCAGAGAAACTACTCTCATTGAAAGACCAAGAGAAAACCCCTGAAGAAATAATGAAAAGGAGATGGTCTACAATGAATTCAAAAAGTTGGTAATAAATATGCTAACTGAATTAAGAAAGAGAATTGATCTAAGCACAGATCATTTAACAAGGAATTAGAAACTATAAAGAAGACTCAATCAAAAATTGGTAATTCAGTCTCGGAGATAAAAAAGCACTCTATAAGCATTGATAGCAAACTAAATGACACAGAAGTGATCCGGAAGATAGAACAATGGAAATCACCCAATCAGAACGGCAGCCAGAAAGACAGAAAAAAAAAATAAAGCATACAAGATCTACAGGATGATATAAAATGTGCCAATATTCACATTTTACAGGTTCCAGAAAGAGAAGAAAGGGATCAAAAATGTATTTGAAGAAATAATGGCTGAAGACTTCCAAAACCTAAAGAAGGAAAACAGATATCCAGGTACAGAAAGCACAGAGGATCCCATACAAGATGAACCCCAAATACCCAAACAAAGACATCATAATTAAAATGGCAGAAGTTAAAGAGAGAATTCTAAAGACAGCAAGAGAAAAATAGTCATATACAAAGGAATCCCCATAAGGCTATCAGCTGATTTCCTTGCAGAAACTTGGCAAGCCATAAGTGAGTGGCATGATATATCCAGAGGCCTAAAAGGGAAAAACCTGCAACCTAGGAGAATCTACCTAGCAAGATTATCATTTAGAATAGAAGAAGAGGCAAAGAACTTCTCATATAAGCAAAAACTAAAAGAATTCAGCAATACTAAACCTACCCTAAAAGAAATGTTGAAGGATCTTCTCTAAATGGAAAAGAAGTAAGAGCTGTGAAAAAGGGAAATCTCAATAGGAAAGGCTAATATATTATAAGGACTGAAGGTCATTTAAATAAGCCACTATATAGATTAAAAAAAAGTGAAAGCAACTATAAATACAATAAACAGCAGAGATAAGCATGAAGATGTAAAATATGACATCAAAAACACAAAATGTGGGAGAGGGGAGTAAAAAAGAAAATGTAGATCTTTTAGAATATGTTTGAACTTAAATGATTATCAGTTTAAACCAAGTAGATATAATTATGGGTCAACTTATATGAATCCCATGGTAGCCACAAATCAAAAACTTACAATAGATACACAAAAACCAAAAAGAAAGGAACACAAGCATACTACAGAAGAAAATCATCAAATGACCAACGGAGGAAGCAAAGAGAAGAAATGAACAAAGCACCACAAAAATAATTCGAAAACAAGTACTAAAATGGCAATACATACACACCTATCAATAATTACTTTAAATGTCAATGGACTAAATGCTCCAATCAAAAGATGTAGGGTGGCTGATAAAAGGTATCTGAACGGCAGGGAAGAGGCAAAACTGTCACTATTTGCTGATGACACAATACTCTATATAAAAGAACCCTTCAGTCTAAACCTAAAAACTATTAGAATAAGTAAATTCAGCAATGTTGCAGGGTACAAGAGGAACATACAGAAATCTGTTGCATTTGTATACACTAATAATGAAATATCAGAAAGAAAAAGTAAAACCAAAAGCTCATTTAAAATTGCATGAAAAATAAATTAAATATCTAGGAATAAATTTAACCAAGGATGTGAAAAACCTATAGTCTGAAAACTATAAAACACTGACGAAGGAAACTGAAGATGATTTAAAGAAATAGAAGGATAACCCATGCTCTTGACAGGAATAATTCATATTATTAAAATGGTCATATTACCCAAAGAAATCTACAGATTTAATGCAATCCCCAACCAAACACCCATTTTTCACAGAACAAGAACAAATAATCTTTTTTTTTAAGAACAAATAATCTTAAAATTTATGTGAAACCACAAAAGACCCCAAACTGCCAAAGCAATCATGAGGAAAAAGAACAATGCTGGAGGGGAGACGATACAGCTCAAGTGGTAGGGCGCATCTTAGCATACACAAGGTCCTGGGTTCAGTCCCCAGCATCTCCTCTAAAAATAAAACAAATAAGTAAACCTAATTACTTCCCCTACTAAAAAAATTTTTAATAAATAAAAAAAAAAAGAACCAAGGCTGGAGGAATAATCCTCCCAGACTTCAGACAATACTACAGAGCTACAGTAGTCAGATTAAAAAGCATGGTATTGGTATAGAAACAGACATGGATCAATGGGACAGAATAGAGAGCCCAGAAATAAACCCATAGACCTATGGTCAGTTAATCTTCGACAAAGGAGGCAAGAATGTACAA